AACCAAACCAAACCAAACCAAACCAAACCAAACCAAACCAAACCAAATTAAACCAAACACTAGAAACCTTAAATCAAACCAATTCAGCGAGCAACAGGCACACAAATACAAACAACAAACAAATAAACCCCCTAACTTACAAAGATCAATGGGGGAAAGCATATGAACCATGGTGAGTACTCACAAGTGATTTTCTTCTCCTGCCTCTGCACACATATCTAACAATAATGATCATATGATGATCCACCCTCTGCACATGGCAGACTGTTCTAAGCACTATCCAGGATCTCCCTAATTTAATTCTCACTGCAACCCTCACAATGAGCACCTTTGTTTTATAAATGAAGATACAGAGACACAGGCAGGACAAACAAGTTTACTGGAGTTCAGTCAGGCACTAAATGACAGAGGTAGGCGCAGAACCAACATTTGTAATCACCACATGTGGAAACAATTCTTCGGTCAGAGGCCACCCTCCTCCACACCTGCTCTATGCATTCTTCTGGTCCTTCTCCCAAAACAACAAAACATCTGTGAAGGTAGATTCATGTAGGGGAAAGAACAGCCAAACACAGTTATTTTTATTTTTTATTCTTTTTGTTGTTATTATTATTGTTGTTTGTTGCATAATATTTTAAAATTTTCAATATCAAACTATTAAAATTAGAACCTCAGGAGAATTTATTAAATATGAACTATATCTATACAAACATGTAGTATGTTTGTTCAGTCTCCATACCTTTGTGGATGACACCTGTTAAGGCTTATAAAACATAAACAGGCCGGGCGGTGGTGGGGCACGCCTTTAATCCCAGCACTTGGGAGGCAGAGACAGGCGGATTTCTGAGTTCGAGGCCAGCCTGGTCTACAGAGTGAGTTCCAGGACAGCCAGGACTATGCAGAGAAACCCTGTCTCGAAAAACCAAAAAAAAAAAAAAAAAAAAAAAACCATAAACAATTGAAAGTTTATGAATAACTTGCTATAACTAAAATGACCTAAACACATATACATAAAGCAAATAGAGAAATTGGTGAGTTATATACCATATACTTTTAAGTATGAATTTTTTTAACCTACTAATCACAAAAAATGTGTTTTAAATTGCTATACTATTATGCCTTTAATCCCAGCACTTGGGAGGCAAAGGCAGGCGGATTTCTGAGTTCGAGGCCAGCCTGGTCTATAGAGTGAGTTCCAGGACAGCCAGGGCTATACGGAGAAACCCTGTCTTGAAAAAAAAAATTGCTATATTATGCCAAGGACGATACAAATGATTGCTCTCCTAGTCTCAAGATAGAAATACCAACTTAAGCATCCTTCCTACAAAAAAATAAAAAAAGCAAGCTTTTAAGCTGTCTAGGAAAATTTACCCTAAAATTCTGCTTTCTTAAAGGTGTCTTTTGAAGAACTGAAAATGTAGAAAATAAATATAAATCATAGCAGAACTACAGAAGCAATTTTGGTGATAACAAAATTTTTGTACTGTATTTAATCCCAGCACTAGAGGCAGAAGCAGAGAGGCAGAGGCAGAGAGGCAGAGAGACAGAGAGACAGAGAGGCAGAGAGAGGCAGGCCGAGAGACAGAGAGAGACAGAGAGAGGCAGAGAGGCAGAGAGACAGAGAGAGGCAGAGAGAGGCAGAGAGAGGGAGAGGCAGAGAGAGGCAGAG